AACAAAAAACAAAAAACATTCAAATAAGGAAATGGATTAATAAGCAAATTAAACTGAACTTATTAGCTAAAGCAAACAAGCTTATATTTATTAGCTGTTGGTGCAATCACTTTGGGAAACATAACGTAAATATGCACAAAACGCCAGTCCTTATTCTTTCAGCCACTTGACAAACTTGCTGAAATTCTCTGAAGAGCGACTTCCTTCTGCTATGTTGCATGTTACCTTCTTCTTTTCTATCAGAGACTTTGATCTTATGTTCTCATCACTAAGAAGTTGGTCCACTTTTGTCTTTATCTCCCAGCGTGACACCAATCCATTTTCATCTTTGTCAAATCCTAACCCAACTTTCAACTCATCACAAATGTATTTTTTGTTATAAAATTGGTCAGCAAAATAAGGCCAGCACAAGAAGGGCAACCCATTAGACAAACCTTCAAGAATTGAATTCCAACCACAGTGGCTAACAAAACAAGCTATGGCAGGGTGGCTTAACACCTTTTGTTGTGGAGCCCATGAAACTATCTTGCCTTTGCTACCTAGGAATTCATTGGGGTATGCTATCTTGTTGGTACAATTGGAATCTTGACGCACAACCCAAAGAAAAGGTCTATTGGTAAGGTCTAGTCCAATTGCTAGTTCTTTGAATTGGTTTTGGTCCAAGAGAGAAAAACTACCAAAGGCAACATACAAGACAGAATGATGAGATTGCTGATCAAGCCAATCCATGCAGGACAAATCTTCTTCCCAGAACTGTCCAATTGATCTTGTATTTACACTTTTATTGTCATAACTTCTCAGCAACGGACCAACTGGTAGGAGCTTCGGAACAAAGGACAATACCTCAGGCTCAAGTTCATATGTGGTGTTGCAAAGCCACCACTCTGTCAAATTTGTAGTTTGTGCGAATTCCATCATACTTTTAAATATTTTTTTAAGAATTATTGAGCTAGGGACACCTGTCCAAAAAAGGGATTCTGTGTCCATCACAGGCATAGTTGGTGATATCCGAAATGTCTTTTTAGTGATTGGAACTCCTGCATGCATTGAAAAGCAAAATTAAATAAATTTTAATATATAGTGTGAAAAAAGACGACAAAATAAATTCATGATCCTGCATTTGTGGTTGTGTAAAGTAATCAATAGAACCAAATAAATCTGGTTAGTGAAGTATGATATTATTAGTACTTACCATCTGAATCTATGATCCCATTATCAATAAGTGTGGGGATGTTGCATTGCATGGCAAACATAGCTGCTGTTGCAGGCCAGAATATTGCTCCTTTTATTCCCAATTTGTTCCCAACGTTCAAAGCCCATCCCATATTCAAATCAGCAACTATACAGCATATTCTATCCTCACCATTCAAATGAATTTCTTCTATTTTCTTCTGAAGCATGGAAGGCATGGTGCTTAGCATAGCATCAAAAAACTTGGCAAAATCTGTTCTGTCATCCTCAGGTCTGAAACCATCTGGGATTGACACCAACTTCAACAGTGAATGTGATTCATCAAGGCTTTCTTGCTGCTCGACCATGGAACTCACCACTCGCTTATGGTTGAAGTCTGTGTTCACAAAATAGACTTTGCATCCATGCTCAACCAAATTCTGTGAGAATTTCATCATGGGATTGACGTGTCCTTGGCCTGGATATGGTAAAACTAGCACGGTTGGAACGATCATTTTGTACTTGTGTTTGTTGATTCAGAGACTCCTATCTTTATAGTAGCCAACTCCATTCACTTCACATATTTTGTTTTCATTAATATATATAATCATTAAGTTCACCTTAAACTTTTACATTGAATTGATACTTTATATTATATTAAAGTCTCTCCCAGCAATTATTATTGGGATCGAACATGGAGTTTCAGAATTTTCCACTCATCTAATATGAGCTACTTACAACAATATTTATTACAAGTCACTCAATTTACAAAAGGAATATAATTAGGCTTAGGAAATCCTAATCAACCATAATTATTCATGAGCACAAATCTGAATTACTAAAAAAATAAAAAATAAAAAAATAAAATAAGCACATTGTCGACAACAGTAACAGGCCTTCTGGTCCTAAGGGTATGTTTGGTACAAATTTTATTTTAGGTTTGATGGAAAAGTGTGGGTGAGTATTGAAAAATACCACTTTTGATTCAAGTTTTTGAAACAAAAATACTAGACAAATAGAATGGCTGAGAAACGACTTTGATGTTGATTTTTAGGTAAGATTCACCGTTACAAAATACCACTTGAGATGTGATATTTTGAGATAACAGGAGAAGTGGAAAAACAGATGCGAAGTTCTTCCCGAACATAGATTTTGCAAATTTAAATAAATTTTTTCAGTAATATTTCAGTAAACCAAACATCTTTTTTTAAACTTTTCCGTCAAATTGATTTTCCTACCATTTCTCAGTAATTATATTTTCTTGGTCAAAAAAAATTTCTATTCTATCAAACGCGTTGTAAGGGTATTGCCCCCTTATTCCGAATGGGGAGGCTCCCTTAAATCCCCATTGCTTTCTTTGTGTGAATGACTAATAAGAGTTATCATTTGAATGTTAAATATCAACAATATATATCCAACAATTACGAGTTCAATCCTCGCAATCCCATTTTGCAGAAAGAATAAAAATTAAATTGATATACTGAACTAAAAAATGAGTCTATGTAGAATCCATCTATTAAGCCTAAAAGCTCTTACATGGCATGATGTAATGCTGATCAGAGAAGGCTTCAACGGATACTTGCCACTCTGTCTCGGTTTGTAGCCAACTCATCCGATCCTTGACCTCATCATATTTACATACTAAACCAGGGATCGCACTCGTGATCCAACCCTCCCCTCACACTAGTCGTGATTTAAATATTGGTGGTATTTTTTCATTCCTCTAGAGTTCGCCATGTCTACGCCACCAAAGAAGGCACACTATCATGCCTGTCTGCACCCACACTGCCCCCTGCATGCAAGATGCAACATTGCAAACACTCACATTCATCCACAAGCTTATCATATTCAAGCGGCCAACAAGAAAATTTCAAATTTTAAAGCTGCTTTCCTCATAAGATTCTCTCCTTAATTAGTTAATCCAAATTTTATGAACCATGTCCATCACATGTGTTATTATATTTCACCTTTTCTTTTTTACATAAGAGTTTTGTGGGGATCTGCAAGGACTCCAGAAACAGGAATAATCACGGAAGATTTTCTGGTAAAAGGAATTAGAGGTGGGGAATAAAAGAATTTTTTTTTTTCAAAATAAAAATCAAAGTGTGTTTATTTTGAGTAAATTTAAAAAATATATATCAGTATGCCTTAAAAATGTTTTATTTATATTTAATAATTTTAATTTATAAATTTTATAAATAAAATTATTTGAATAAATTCCCTAGAAATAAATCAATGAAAATGAATTCCTACACCTTGAACAATCTATGGCTACCGAAATGGTTTTTTATTATTGCACTGAAATTATTCATAAGCAATTATTTAGTGATGTTTGACTTGAGGAAATGGAACAAAGAGACTTATGATCTACAATTGAAACACATTCAAGATATTTAAAATGGAATGCTTCGTGTTACCAAACAAAAAAAGGAATGCTTCATCATCTTCCAATACATCAAGTCTATCAAAGGCAATAAAAAAAACTGAAAACATCAACGAAGGCCTATGCTACTAATATTTAATAGTCTTATGCCATCCAAATAGCCTCTATCTTGGCCTCGTGCCACATGATACTCCGATATCATCAGTATCTGTACCTAAAATAAGGTCCCCAAATGGGGAGAGATAAGCTTCTCAATAAACTAGGGGTTATTGGAGAATTCCTCCATCCCATAGTTCATTTTAGGCATAATAGCAGTAAAACAAATATAATACACAAAATATAACATAATAGGCCGTCAAATAATGGCCAGGTGATTCCCTGGCCTTCCCTCTCCATGGGCTCAAAAGTATTTGTCCACCAATCATGTGCTTCACCCTCAAACATATACACAGAATATAATAACTTCTGTAGGTCGCGGCACCTCATAAACCTAAAGATTTTATCCACGGCCTGTAGTATAATAATCCTAGTTTGTAAAATATCTCATTGCAAAGGATTAAGTATTTAACCATGCATAATGAAGATTAAATAAGTGAGAAGCTTAGTAAAAGAATTGGATTAAATATTTATCAGGCACACTGTAGAAAAAAAATAAGTGTAATACTTAATTCAATCAATTTGGAGTTGTATTTAGGAAGAAAATACTTGGGTTGAAAGGATAATTGGGCTTAAGTGAGGGGATTGGGCTTATAATTTAAAGGCCCCGTCAGCCGCTCCTCGTTTGGGAGCTCGCTTGAGGAAGCTGCCCAACGAGCGTGTAAAATGCTCGCTGAAGTTGCTCACTGGAGTGAGGAACCAAGTGAGCGAGGATTTGAAAACAGTCACTTAAGTCAGTCTCTCTCCTCACCAAACCAATCCTCTCCCTCTGCAAACCAAAGAGAAACACCATTTATGAGCATTAATTTAGGGCTTTGAAAACCTAATTTCTTTGTTACTCAATGGAATCAAAGATGGTGGGAAACAAAAATGCATAGGATTCTTGACTCCATCAATTCTTCCTCCTGTGGTGGATTCGGTGCTGCTATCTCGGATTCCACTTTTGACTCTGAACTCAAGGATTCCTCTTGCTTCCTTAGCTTGGTTAGCTTCTGGTTCTTCTTTGCAGTCTTCTCGATTTCTGGATCAAACTGTAAAGATTCACGGTTAACTTTACCTTGCATAAAAGAGAGAAATCAATTAGTAACTAAACAAAATAAATAAAATATATTTTTAATAATAAAAGAATAAAAAATAAAAAATCGAAAAAAAAATAAATACAAAAATAAAAAATATGAGATAAAAAACTTAAAAGATAAAAAATATTTCACCACAGGACAAGCGACAGGGACCCAGACGGGGACCCAGTCTGGGAATGGCCTTGTCTCTGATCAGAAGGACAAGGTAAAGGATGGAGAAGATGGAAGAGAAGATCAAAGCTATTCAAGGTCCTAGTGCTTACGGATCTCTTGGGGTGGAGGAATTGTGCTCCACGATGAACGTGATTATCCCTAAAGATTTCAAGGTCCCAGATATTTCTAAGTATGATGGAAGTACAAACCCAATCATCCACCTGAAGACATACTGCACGAAAATGGCAATATGGTTCAAGGATGAGAATTTCCTTGTTAGTTTCTTCCATGAGAGTTTGGCTAGTCCTGCATTAGAGTGGTACATCCAGATGGATCATTCTAAAATTGGTTGTTGGAAAGACTTGGCAGATGCGTTCATGAACCAATATCGATTCAATTTACATACTGCCCCAACTAGAGAACAATTGGCAGCTTTGCAAAAGGAGAACAAGGAGACCTTTAAGCAATATGCCCAAAGATGGAGAACTCTTGTTGCACAAGTCCAACCTCCGCTGACACTATCTGAGATGTGTTCATATTTCCTAGGGACGTTAGGAGCTCCGTATGTTGGGTCAATGGCCGGTGCTGCATATCGGGATTTTGCCGATCTCATAGCTGCAGGTGAAAGAATTGAAATTTTAGCCAAAGCTGGGAAGTTGCCAATGGACTATAGACAGAGTAGTCCTCCCAAAAAGGGATTACAACCTAAGAAACGAGAATCCGAAGTGAACCATGTCAGGCATCAACAATCTTTTGTGCCTCGACATCCTACACCAAACCCAAGCCACCAGATACTATCATACAACCCCATTCCATTTACCTCTTACCAAACCCCCACACAAAACTTCCCAAACTTAAACACTGCACCAACCCCACAATTCCAAGTCAACAACATACCAATGACACCACGGTATGCACCAACTCGTCCATCCAATGCACCTCATCCCATACATCCACAGTATCGTCCAAATCACACTCAGCCATATCAAAACTCCCAAAATCAAAGCCTTCCACCTTTTCCTAAACTATCCATTTCTAATGCTGATTTGTTCCAACGACTGTTTGACGCTCACTTAATCTCATAAAGTCCTGTACGTCTAATGCAACCCCCATTCCCGGCTTGGTATAATCCAAATTCTACTTGCAGATATCATATGGGAGTTGCTGGACATTCCATTGAAGATTGTGAAGCATTTAAAACAGCAGTAAGGAAACTGATTACTTGTGGTAGGCTCGACACCCAAGAAGAGACCAGGCCTAATATTGTCAATAACCCCGTCCCGAATCATGGGGGAAGGAATCAAGTGAATGTTGTGGAAATAGAGGATGCAGTGATCAAGAAGGTTTTGAGTTTGCATACACCCATGTCAGATATATGGGAAGGATTGAAGAAAGCTGGTTATGATATCACGGTACCAGGATGTTCTATGAAGGATGAAGGAAAGTATGATATAGAGTCAAGTTGTGCCTATCACAGCGGGCACGTGGGACATGATACTGAAAATTGTTGGGATTTCAAAGTCCGTGTCCAAGGCTTGATCACATTGGGTGTCATACAGGACAGGCGAAAGGATACTTTTTCTGAAGAGGTTAGTGTGGTAGAGCGCTTCGTACTTCGAGTGCCACCCCTTAACCAAAATCCTTTGCCTGAAAAGATGGTAATGAAGGTGAAGAAACCAACGCCTTTTCCTTACAATGACACTCACGCAATACCGTGGAATTACAAGACAAGCGTTGAAGAAATTGGGAATACTTCGAGAGCCCATACTAACAACCCTCATTTGGAGGAACAATCAACGAATGCAATAAGAGTCGGGGAGGTCACAAGAAGCTGGAGATTTTATGGCCCGAAAGAACCAGAAAAGAGAAAAAGCAGCAAGGAGGATGAAGCTGAAGAAATCATCGCCAGTGAAAGGGAAGGTGAAGGAGAGGAAGATGAACTCTTTAAGATCATGAAGCAAAGTTAATATGTTGTAATGGAACAGTTGAAGAAAACTCCAGCTAGGATATCACTTCTGTCACTTATCCTCTCATCAGAATCTCATCGAAAAGCACTCATGACTATGTTGAGTGAGGCTTATGTCAAGTCAGATGTTACCCCTGAAAATATGGTCAACATGGTAGATCCAGTGAAGCATGTCAACATGATCACGTTCTCAAATGATGAAATCGTCTGTCCATCTGAGAAGACCTCGAGAGCTCTGCATATAACATTGAAATGTAGAGGGTATATTATAGCCAAGGTTTTGATTGACGGAGGGTCAGCGTTGAATGTCCTACCACTGTCAACTTTGTCTCGGCTATCGATGAACATGAATGATTTAACCCTCTAGGAGATGATTGTGCGAGCTTTCGATGGTACTGAAAGAGGAATTCTAGGAGAGGTAGTGTTGCCCTTGGAGATAGGCCCAAGTAATTTCCAGACTTTGTTCCAAGTCATGGATATTGAACCTGCTTATACCATGCTTCTAGGTAAGCCTTGGATCCATGCAGCAGGTGTTGTGCCTTCTACTCTGCATCAAAAGGTCAAATATATCGAGAATGAGTCGGTTATCACCATCCACGGGGAAGAAGAAATCATGGTTTCGAAACCAGTCTCAGTGCCGTATGTTGAAAAAACAGACTCGGTAGAAGGGAGTGGATTGCATAGTTTCGAAGTTGTTGAATCTAGTTGCAAAAAAGATGCATCACTGGGGCAAAGTGTGAATGAGATAATCGCTCGAATTATGGCCAAGAGCGGATATAAGGTGGGTAAAGGTTTGGGCTCGCAGCTGCAAGGTAGCCGGTCACCTGTAATGATTCCAGAAAAGTCAAATAGATTTGGGTTAGGTTATGAAGGGTCGTTTGAGGAAGAAGTTGGGAGTATGTCTTTGGGAAAAAGAGGCAAGAAGGGCAAGGCGCAACAGATTCCCCATCTAAGAGAAACATTCCCGGTGCCAGCAGAGATTATTATGCCTGAAGAGATCGTTCATCTCCCATGCCGCCTCCATATCAATGCACTAGATGATGACAACCTAGAAGGATACAACACGATTCATCCGTCCACTAGTGATGAGCCTCTGAGGAATTGGCAGTCAGAGCCAGTTATTGATGTGATTTCTATGAAGTAATTGTCTAGTTAATTTGTATTAGCAGTTGTTTGAGCCTTTTTGAAGCTTATGTTATGTTGCTTGAGACATTAATTAAGTAAATGAATTTGCATGGATTTTCAGCAATTTTCAATATTTCTCATCCAATTTGCTTTTTCTTCATTTTTTATTCTCTATTATTGTTAACCCGCATTATTTTCTCTCTCGTCCACCTTTTTATTATTCCTCGTGTGCCATTATATCTGTTGTATTCCAACTCCACATAAATTACTTTCCAGGAATCTTAATCTCATTAAAACTTTGCCTAACGAAGGGGACCTTGAAAACTCACCGATTGATTCTGTGGTGGCTATCTATGAAGAGGATCCAGAGTTTGATGAGGAGCAAATAGTTGAAGAACTTTCAAAGTTGTTGGAAGGCTCAGAAAAGGAATTTGACTTGAATGATGAGGCGTTTGAGTTGATTAATATGGGCACTGAGGAAGAGAAGAAAGAATTGAAAATTGTTGATAACCCCGAGCGGGAAGAGATGATTCAATTATTCAAGAAGTATCTAGATGTCTTCGCATGGACTTACCGAGATATGCCTGGAGTAGATCTAAGGATTGCATCACATAAAATTCCCTTGTACCCAGATGCTGAACCAAAAAAGTAGAAGTTAAGAAGGATGCGTCCAGATATATCCCTGAAAATTAAAGAAGAGGTGAGAAAGCTATTGGAGGCAGAATTTATAGAAGTCTCAGTATACCCAGATTGGGTAGCCAACGTAGTGCCCGTGCCTAAGAAGGATGGAAAAATTCGGGTGTGTGTAGACTACAGGGATTTAAATAAAGCTTGTCCGAAGGATGATTTCCCACTTCCTCATATCGATGTGCTTGTTGATAATACGGCCAAGTATCACACATTCTCATTCATGGATGGATATTCGGGGTATAATCAAATCTTCATGGATGTCGATGATAAAGAAAAAACTGCTTTTATTACTCCTTGGGGGACATTTTGTTACAAGGTGATGTCGTTTGGATTAAAGAATGCAGGGGCTACTTATCAGCGTGCTATGGTTGCATTATTCCACGACATGATGCACAAGGAGATTGAAGTGTATGTGGATGATATAGTTGCTAAGTCAAAAGAAGGGGAAAGTCATGTGACAGTCCTGCAAAAGTTGTTTGAAAGACTCCGGAAATACAAGTTGAGATTGAACCCTAGCAAATGTGTTTTTGGCGCATCCTCAGGAAAATTGCTCGGTTTCATTGTTAGTAGAGAAGGAATACGGGTGGATCCGGAAAAAGCAAAAGCGATACGAGATATGCCTGCTCCTAAATCAAAGCGAGATGTGAGAAGCTTCTTGGGACGACTCAATTACATTGCTAGATTCATTGCAAACTTAACTAGCACTTGTGAGCCTATCTTTAAGCTATTGAGGAAGAACCAACACGGGAAGTGGGATGAAGATTGTCAGAAGGTGTTCGACAGAATAAAGGCTTACTTGTTGAACCCCCTATCTTGGTACCACCAACACCAGGCCGCCCTTTGATTTAGTATTTGACTGTACTGCCTGCCTCCATGGGAACAATGCTGGGGCAACATAATGAGTCAGGTAAGAATGAGCAAGCTGTGTACTACATTAGCAAGAAGTTCAACGAATGTGAGGTCCGTTACATGGCAATTGAAAAGACATGTTGTGCTCTAGTGTGGAGCTCAAAACGACTACGACAGTACATGTTATATTACACCACTTGGTTGATATCTCGAATAGATCCCTTGAAGTATATATTTGAAAGCCCTCATATTTCTTTAAGAGTCTCAAAATGGCAAATGATATTGTCAGAATTTGACATTCAATATGTGACCCGAAAGTCAATCAAGGGAAGCGCAATTGCAGATCACCTAGCTGAGAATCCCCTCGAAGATGACCAGTCAATGCCGTTTGAAATCCCAGGCGGGGAAATATTGGCAGTGGAAGAAGACAAGATTGAGGAGAATGCATGGAAAATGTATTTTGATGGGGCGGTTAATATGCACGGCAGTGGTGTAAGAGCAGTAGTCATTTCACCAACCGGCAAGCAATACCCGGTGGCCATCAAGTTGGACTTTGAATGCACCAATAACATTGCAGAAAATGAGGCTTGTGCAAGCGGTTTGCGACTTGCAATCGATTTAGGAGTGAAACAGTTGGACGTATTTGGGGATGTAGCACTTATCATTTACCAAGTGAATGGCGAGTGGCAGACTAAAGATGCGAAGTTGGTGCCCTACCAAAGGTACTTGACTCGGTTGATTGCAGAATTTGAAGAAATAGAATTCTCGCATTTAACTAGAGACAAGAATCGATTTGCAGATGCCCTAGCCACGTTGGCTGCAATGACCAAGCTGGATATCCATAGTGATGTCCAACCCATCCAAGTTGAGATGAGAAATGAACCAACTTACTGTGCTAATGTGGAGGACGGGCCGGATGGTAAACCTTGGTATTTTGATATCAAACAGTATATTCAGCACAGAGAATACCCAACCGGGGCAAACGAAGCCAATAGGAAGACCGTTCACTGGTTATCGATGGCCTTTTTCTTGAACAGAGAAGTTTTGTACAAGAGAAGTCACGATGGCACCCTTTTAAGATGCGTAGATGCTCGTGAAGCTCATTCAATCATGATTGAAGTCCATGAGGGAGTTTGCGGCACTCATGCCAATGGACATATGATGACGCGTAAGATTATGAGAAGTGGATATTATTAGTCTACCATGGAGGCAGATTGCGTAGAATATGTTCAGAAGTGCCAAAAGTGTCAAATGTATGCAGACCGTATCAATTCACCGCCTTTTCCATTACACAATATAGTGTCTCCTTGGCCATTATCGATGTGGCGAATAGATGTTATTGGATTGATCAATCCAAAGACCTCGAATGGGCATCGCTTTATCCTGGTAGCAATAGATTATTTTACCAAGTGGATAGAAGCCTCATCGTATGCCAACATTTCGCAAAAGGTGTTTGTCAAGTTTCTTAAGAGGGATATTATCTGCAGATACGGGATCCCAAAAAGAATAATTACAGATAACGCTCCTAATCTTAATAGCGCAGAAGTACGAAAGCTATGCGAGCATTTCAAGATCAAGCATCACAACTCAGCTCCTTATAGACCTTAGATGAATGGTGCAGTTGAAGCAGCCAATAAGAATATCAAAAAGATCATTGCCAAGATGGTTGTAAGTTATAAAGATTGGCATGAGATGTTACCCTATGCTTTACATGCGTATCGTACCAACATACGTACGAGTACTGGGGCAACACCTTTCTCCTTGGTATATGGAATGGAGGTTGTCTCTCCGATAGAAGTTGAAATTCCTTCATTGAGGGTTTTGATGGAGGCAGAATTAGAAGAGTCCGAGTGGGTGAAGGCACGATATGAACAATTGAATATGATTGAAGAGAAAAGATTGATAGCTCTTTGTCACGGGCAGCTGTATCAGAGTAGAATGGCTAAAGCTTTTAACAAGAGAGTTCGGCCAAGGGAATTCCAGTCAGTTGATTTGGTCTTAAAGAAAATCTTGCCCAATCAAGAAGATGCTAGAGGAAAATGGGCTCCAAATTATGAAGGCCCTTATGTGGTCAAACATGCATTTTCTGGGGGAGCGTTAATCCTACAAGATATGGAAGGGCAGGAGTTACGAAGACCAATAAATTCTGATGCTGTCAAAAGATTCTATGCCTAATATATATATATAAAAAAAAAAGCCTGTTAGATTGAAAACCCGAAAGGGCAGTCTAAGAAAAAATTAGGGCAAAATAAAAAAGAAAAAAAAGAAAAAAGGGAAGAATCCTGTTAGATCGAAAACCCGAAAGGGAGATCTAAGAAATTTGGAGCAAAGCTTTTG